TGCTATGAAATTCAAATAGAAATGCTCTCTGTTCAAAGGTATGTGTCACCTAGTGCAGACCTTCCACTTATTGCTATTGACTTTCCCTATGAACTAGTGGTTGCATTTCAGGTTTTTCAGTCTCTCTCAAGAGGAAGGAGTGGAGCCAATATTCTGTTGATCATTGCGTGAAATCACTCTGCAATGCTTCAGTCTCTGAGTCTTTCTAAGTCAAACTTGAATTTGGAGAACTTTGGCCTGACAATTTTTCTTAGCAGGAGCCAAAAGCTTAGCATCCCAAGAATGTGATCACATCCTGTATCAGCACTGGAGAAGTTCTTTGGTTTAGACTTGCTGATCCCAGAACAATTTCAGTTTTGCTCCATGATGTAGTTGCTCTAGCTGTGGGGTAGACCAGCAGGAGGATACTGCATTGATTGTGTGAATGGTTTGTGTGCTTTCAATGTGTTTGCAAGAACCAGAGTGCCATAGGTTTCAAATTCCAAATGTTTCAGACCTCTTTCATTCGTTATCACGCTGTGGAAAGGCCACAATAAACTCACCAGTCTGCCTATGCATCAGTACCCACGGTTGCATTCCACTCTCCATGTACAGTCAGGCTATCTTTCTTGTGTATGTTACCTCGCAGTTAACATTAATCGGTTACATGGTTAATATTTTTATATATTTTTTTATATCTCTAGTTGCAGACTTCACTGTCATCATTGTCCAACAAATACATAAATATGGTGGCCATTCTGGGCCTGATTCTCCTCTTATTTCCCTGTAGTTCCTCTCGGATTTAAGAGTAAGTGAAAGGGCTATCAGACCCTTTTCTCTGTAGAACAACACTGATTGCACAGGAAGGTCCACTAGGGGTTCACCGAACTACTTTTTGTGCAAATTTCAAAACAAATTTCTTTATTTTGAACTGGAAAAATTGTGGAACCTGAATAGAAATGTCCACTTCTGTTAACGAGTAGATTTCACTCTCCTTATGACAAGGACAATAATTATTCAAAACAAAAGGATGTCCCCTTAAAAAACTTTGCACGCGTGCTTATGCAAATACAGTCCTGATGACAATTAGATAAGACCGATCATGTAGAGATTACCATTTGTCGACAGATCTCCTTTTCTTTTCCATTCTGAAAACACCATTTTCTTCCAGCACAGCAAGCCCATAGACTTGAATGAGTCCTTGAGGCCAAGTCTAAAATATTTAGCAACTCAGTGGCAGTAGGTTACCTTCTATGATTGCCTGTTGCTGCTTTCCTTCTGCAACTAGCAATGTAATCTGTGTGATTCTGACAATGGAGTCCCTTTGTTTGATGAACTAACTTCTTTTCTGCAGATGTGAATAGGAAAAACCAAGAATGTCCTTTGAAATTCAGTTGGATTGTGTCCTTTGTCATAGATATGTATCACCTACTGCAGCCCTTCAACTCCTTGCTATTGCCCTTTCCTAAGATGTATGGCAAGGGTGGGCAATAATTTTTTGCCAGGGGCCACTTCAAAATTTTTTGAAGTGTTCCTGGGCCACACACACCAGAAGGGGCGGGGATTGGTTTACGGGTGGGAGAGCCCCTTTGACACCCCCCCCAAATTTGCCCTAGGCACCCATGCCCCTGGAGGTGAGAGGAGATTTCCCGTGCTCCCCCACCCCCAAGCCAATCAGAGCTGCATGCTCCTGGCAGGGGAGGAGCAGGGTGGAGGAAACTTAATGGGCTCCCTCTGCCCCCAGATCCTGATTGGCCTGAGGGCTGGGGAGCATGTGAACCCTCCTCCCACTCTCTGTGCCTTGTGATTGGACCGAACCACGAGTGGCAATTAGAACTTCCAACCACGGACTCTGGTGTAGTATAATTTGGGGTATAAACGTGGAGTGAATGAGGTCCATTTTGCAATTTAATAAAAAGTAATTTCTCCCCGTCTCAAATCAGGATAAAACGTGGAAATCTCACAAACTAACAAACTATAATGTTTTTCTTTTTGGATCAATTGAAGCTTTTTGTTTGGATGATTTGAGAACCATTCATTTAGATGTATACCTTTTTTCTGAGTACTTAGCTTGAATTTTAAAACAAAAATTTGATTCACAGTGGAAAAAAATGGAACCGACTTTTTTTTTAAGGTAAATAACTAAAAAGTACAAAAGGAAATCAAAATAAAATGTGAAGATTTAAATCAAGAATTTCTTCTTCCCAAATTAAGTTATGATTTCAGCTGGTCATTTAAATGGCTGTCATTTTTAAATCAGCCTAATTGTGCCCTCTGGCCTTCCACTGAATTTCATAATTTAGTAATGAAAAAGAATAAAAGTTTCATTTTTTTAATATTATCCAATACTGCTGAATGTAAAACAGGCAGCAATTATTGCATGGGTGGCAATAAAACAGCTTGATACACATTGTTAAATTGTTGAAAAATTCATGTCTTACCAGTATGCATGGAGGGGAAGATATATTGCGCTCAAAGGCAATTTTTCTCTTCTGACATGAAGATACAAATTTTGGTGAGGTCATAAGCAATGCAATCTTCCTTAATAGCTAATCCTAAATGGAGATTTTTCAGTTGAAACAAACTTCCATAAAATGAGCACAATGGTTAGTTTTGGACACTCGTGTGCAGCCTAGGGACCTCTATGAACATTTCCGTTGTAATTTATGTCAAAATTTGGTCCTGCCATGCTTTTCTGTAGAGAATATTTCTACCAGACACAAGATAGTCGTTTAAGTATTTTAAGCATCACTGTAGTTACTTTTGTCATTGGCTTGTTCAACAAGTAAGATGGCTATTACGGGCTTGAGTCTCTTCTTATTTCCCTGGAATTGATCCTAGATTACACAGTCAGTGGAAGAGCCATTGGACCCATTTGTCTCTGGAGGAACAGTGATTGTACAGGAAGGCTAGAGGATCAATGAACAAAATGTTGTCAATTTCAAAACTTTTTCCCCATGATTTATTACCTCATGCAACCTGATCCTTTTCCACAGGCCCTTTTAGTTTCAACAAATCTGCATTTTTTTTCAGAATTAATTGAAAAATTTCTGATCAGGTTTATTTCATGTTCCAGACTAGACAGTAAATGATCCCATTCCATGCTATTTATAAGGAAAAAACAAATCCTTTAGACTATTTTAATTGTTAAAATCTGTTCGGTTTTTAAAATAATATTTTCCTCCCACACGGCATGCCCATGGACTTGAATGAGTCCTTGACATTATGGGCAGAGTGTTTAGCAACAGTATGGCAGTAGGCGACTTTTCTGAAATTGTTTGTTGTTGACTGTTGCAGTGTTGACAGTTCATGGAGTCATAGAACACTAGAACTGGAAGGGCCCTCGAGAGGTCATCAAATCCAGTTCCCGGCCCTCACGGCAGGACCAAGCACCATATAGATCATCCCTGATAGATGGTTATACAACTTGCTCTTAAATATCTTCAGTGATGAAGATTCCACAACCCCCCAAGGCAATTTATTCCAGTGTTTAACCATCTGGACCTTTAGGAAATGTTTCCTAATGTCCAACCTAAACCTCCCTTGCTACAGTTTAAGCCCATCGCTTCTTGTCCTATCCTTAGAGGTCAAGAAGAATAATTTAGAAAAAAACTCTCGGTGATTAATCCTATGGCGCTGGCCCCGTGTCCTCACTGTCACAGCTCTGCCCCAGGTTTACATCTACTCCTGGCTCACCGTATCTCCCCGCATGTGCTCATCACTGCTTCTTCATCAGAGGACAAAGGGAACAATTTTTCTCCCTCCTCCTTGCAATATCCATTTTGTCTGTTATCAATGTGGTGTTCTGTTAGACGTCAATAGATGTTTGGCTGTGTGTGTGTGTGTGTGTGTGTGTGTGTGTGTGTGTGTGTGTGTATTCCCTCTCTGTACCTCCTCAGTTCTTTGTAAACAGCTAGCAAAGCAGACTTCAAGTGACTGAACCAGTTCCCACAAAATCAGATAATTGTTGACGGCACAGGGCTAGATTTATTTCCTATTGAAGCACAGTCCTAGTGTCCTGTCCCAAAGGTTACAGGTACCTTACAAATGTGTGCCCTCTGACAATGGACCAGCTGGGTCTGTGGCTTTCCATTGCCCCCAGGCCATACAAAGATAGCCACTCTGAGATACATCTTTATCCAGAGATACAAACAAGTTATGCATCACTCCTGATGAGTCAGGGTGTCACAGTTAGATGCATTAGGGTGCCACCCAGTGATGTATCTAAGGGACTCCTGTTATATTGTACGTACAGGTTTAATTAAACCATCCATATTCATCATTTTGTCATCCTGATCCTATCTTTAGGATGGGTCAGAGTACTCCTCTTATTGGTGGGGAATAAAGGTGTTTACCCATTGTCCCGGAGAAGCATAATGCACGGACTGAAGATCACTCAGGCTACGTCTAGGCTGCAGTGTTTTATCGGAAAAAGGTACGCAAATTGTGCTCCACAATTCGTGTAACTTTTTCTGATAGTTTTGTTGGAAGAGGCTTTTCTGAAATTTGGCCCGTCTACACCGGGTCAAAGTTTAGAAAAACCTCCTCTTTCAGAAGAGCTCTTCTTCCTCGTGTCACGAGGAGGACAGGGCTTCCGAAAACGCATCTGCTATTCCACAAAAAATGTCAGAAGAGCAGACGCTTTCCCTGGACGCGGCGATGTTTTTCCAGGATACCTATGGAAAAACTCCACTGCCCAGACATAGCCTCAGTGGGCTAAACACTGTTATAAGGCCATCTTACTTTACCATCTATATATTCATGCCCCCTCTGTCTCTTAGACTGTACATTCCTTCGTATGACTGGACAGATTTTAATTCCCATTTGTGTCTAGTCCTTTATGGTGGGCTGAGGAATGTTAGGCCCCAGGCTTTAGAATGAGGAATATAGTTATATGTTTGAGCCTTAGAGGCATTCCCATGTAATTAATATATATGAATAATATGGATCTGATCTATATATTTGTAGTGTATGGGTATATATGTATACAGGCAGTCCCCGAGTTACAAACGGGGTTTGCTGCCCGTCTCATTGGTCTGCTGGCTCCAATTTCTGCACGTTTCTTGAAATGTGGTACCCAGAACTGGACACAATACTGCAGGAGAGGCCTAATCAACGCAGAGTAGAACGGAAGAATGACGTCTCGTGTTTTGCTCACAACAATGTCAGATCCAGACATTTTAAATGTACGGACAATAGGCAGGATGGACACTCAAACCTTTGCAAACCCAGGGCCTCTCTCTGTTGCCCTTCTGTAGACAAGCCCTGAATCATTTAGGAACATATCACTCATCTTTTACTGCACATGCTCATTCTGCCCTGGAGTGTTGGACCTATGTCGAATCAGAATGATGTTTCTCAGGCAGGGCAAAGGCCATGCATTCTGGGGCTCCTTGAAAGGTTTATACAGTACAATGAGGAGATGGAGCACTTTGGACATTACGCTGGAGCAATGCCGCACCAGGAACCCACATACAGCATCCTGGCTATTTAGTGCACAGTGTCTGTTAGCAATGTGGTGTTCTATTAGACGTTAATAGATGTTTGGCTCTGTGTGTGTTTGTTTGTGTTCCCTCTCTGTACCTCCTCAGTTCCTTGCAAAGCAGACCTCATGTGAATTAACCAGTGGCCACAAAATCAGATAATTGATGACAGCACTGGGCTAGATTTATTTCCTATTGAAACAGTCCTAAGTCCTGTCTCAAAGGTTACAGGTACCTTATGAATGTGTATACCTGAAATGAGGACGTAGTTTGAATTGCTGTTTCTCTGCTGGGTGTAGCCAGGGGCAGTTACTTCAGGCTAGTGGAATTTCAAAATGGCGACTGGATGGGAACATGCAAATAAAGCCCAGGATATTTAAATCCCGGGCTTCATTTGCAACTTCGAATGCCTACATTAGCCTCCCTAGTTCGAACTAGAGGGCTAGTGTAGACATACCCTTAGAGACTTCCACTTGAGAAGAGATGTCTTTTTCTATTCCATTTGAAAATATTGTTTTCCTTCAGCACAGCATGCCCATTGCCTGTTACTGCTTTCCTTCTGCAACTCGCAACGTAATCTGTGTGATTCTGTACTGTCTGACAATGGAGACATTTTGTTTCATGAAATAACTTCTCTGCAGACATGAAGAGGATGAATGCCTAACGCAAACAAGAACATCCTATGAAACTCAAATGGAAACATTTCCTGGTCTTGGGTATGTGCCACCTACTGCTTCCCTTCCACTTATTGCTGTTGCCTTTCCCTTTGAACTATTGGTTACATTTCAGGTTTTTCCTCTGAATTAAAAATTAGAACAAGTTAGAATGAAAACAAAGAACAAAAGGAGACGTGGTCTCTAATTGTAAGTGTTAAGGCCCATGAGAAGACTGAAGGCCCGCTGAAGGGTCTATTCCCATTCACTGTAGTCAACCGTAGAAAAGCGAAACATGTTTAAACCAATCTTTAAAACAAGGTTCCTCGTTCCAGGAGTGTCCCTAGAAATGCTCCACTCGAGGGCTATGTCTACACTGGCATGATCTTACACTAATAATATGCAAATGAGGCTAAGCGTGGAATATTGCTGAGCCTCATTTGCATACCTAATGAGCCACCATTTTTTTTCAGAAGAGGCTCTTACATGGAGACATTTTGTTTCATGAAATAACTTCTCTGCAGACATGAAGAGGATGAATGCCTAATGCAAACAAGAACATCCTATGAAACTCAAATGGAAACATTCGTTGGTTGTGGGCATGTGCCACCTACTGCTTCCCTTCCACTTATTGCTGTTGCCTTTCCCTTTGAACTATTGGTTACATTTCAGGTTTTTCCCCGACTTAAAAAATTAGAACAAGTTAGAATGAAAACAAAGAACAAAAGGAGACGTGGTCTCTAATTGTAAGTGTTAAGGCCCATGAGAAGACCGAAGGCCCGCTGAAGGGTCTATTCCCATTTACTGTAGCCAACCGTAGAAAAGCGAAACATGTTTAAACCAATCTTTAAAACAAGGTTCCTCGTTCCAGGAGTGTCCCTAGGAATGCTCCACTCTGGGTATACTGGCGTGCGTGTAGTGCTGATCAGAGAGCTTCAGGATCAGTGTCCATTTTGCCCACCCCTGCACTGGGACAAGGCTAATCAGCACATGCATGCTAGCCTCCCAAGCCCATTTATACTAACCTAGACCTGGTGACAATGAAATATGTTTGTTCATTTAGATGCTTGCTTTTGTGGACAGATCTCTTTTTCTCTTCCACTTTGAAAATACCAGTTGTCTCCAGCAGGGGATGCCCATAGACTTGAATGACTCCTTGAGCTCATAGCTAGAACGTTTAGTAAGACTTTGGGAGTAGGTGACTTAAGGTAGAAGATGTTTCCCCATAAGTAATTATGGTGCTGATAACAAAGGTCCTATGAAACTCAAATGGAAATGTTCCTTGTTCATGGGTCTGTGTCACCTGTTGTAGCCCTTCCACTTATTGCTATTGACCTTCACGATGAACTATTGGTTAGATTTCAGGTTTTTCCTTGCAAAACAATGTAAAACAAAATAGACTGAAAACAAAGAACAAGAAACTGGTCTTTAATTGCAACCCTCAGTTTTATGGCCTCTCAGGAGACCGAACTGAAGGGCCACTGAAGGGTTTATTCCCATTCACTATTGCAAACCAGAGAAAAGCAAAGAAACATTAAAACAATAATTTAACACAAGGTTCCGTGTTTGAGTAGTGTCCCTATGAGTGATCCACTGTAGGTGTGCTGGGTTGGGTATCCCTTCACTGCTGATTGGAGAACTTCGGGAGCAGTGTCTGTTGGGCCCACAACTGTGCTGTCTCTACTTCTGTCACTCCACAAAGGCCAATCAGCACAGCTGCACTCACCCCGTATTAGTGCCTTTTCACTTTCACGTTTCTGCTTATGCGAATCCAGTCCTGGAGACAATAAACCTGCATGGCCACTGAGAGACTTTTGCTTCTGGACACAGCTCTTTTTCAATTCCACTTTGAGTATATCAAAGCACAAAATACCCATAGAGCTGAATGAATTCCCGAGCTCATGGCTAGAATGTTTAGCAACACTATACCATGGAGTGACTTTTCTGTGGTTGCTTCTTGCTAATTTCCTACTGCATCTAGCAATGTAATCTGACGGTGGAGTCCTTTTGGTTGATGAAATAACTTCTCCTCTGCAGACGTGAAGAGGATGAACCCCTAGTCTATCTGAGAGACTCCTATGAAACTCAAATGGAGACGTTCTGTGTTCATAGGTACGTGTCCCTTACTACAGCCCTTACATTTATTGCTGTTGCCCTTTACCATAAACTACTGGTTACATTTCAGAATTTTCCTTTGAAAAGGAAAAAGTAGATTGAAAACAAGGCGAACTGGTCTTCAATTGCAACCTTTATTATTAAGTCCCCACAGGAGAGAGTCCTAAAGGGCCACTGAAGGGTCTATTTCCAGTCACTGTAGCAAACCGTGGAAAAGAAAAACAAGATTAAAATCAATGATTTAAAACAAGGTTTCTTGTTTGAGTCGTGTCCTGTGAATGCTCCACTGTACTGCTGATGGGAGAACTTCAGTGTCCATTTGGCTCGCCCCCGTTCTGTATCTATTCGTGCCTCAGCACAAGGCTAATCGGCATGTGTGTGCTAGCCTCCCAAGTCTATTTATACAAATCTAGTCCGGGTGACAATGGAATATGGTTGTTCATTTAGAGGCTTCCATGTGTGGACAGATCACTTTTGCTATTCAATTTTGAAAATATCATTTTCCTACAACACAGACTGTCCGGACTTGAGTGAAACCTGAAGCTCACGGCTAGAATGTTTAGTAAGACTTTGGCAGTAGGTAACATAAAGTAGAAGATGCTGCCACATAAATAATTATAGTGCTGATAAGGCAGCTAATATTATTTGCTGGAATACTTCCGAGTTGCCATATGGATAGTGGCTTGTCTAAATCTTCTAATTTTTTATATGCCTACATCTTAATAAATTATTTTTTTGAAAAACCACTCCCAACTCTGTTGTACATGTCTCCTATCACAGCTGTGTACAATAAATGTTATAAAATATAAGATGGGATAGTTATAGGAGATTAAATTTAGCTCTCATTCTATATGTCTTGAGAAACCAAATTTTGAAATGTTTTTTGCATAAATAGCATTTCTAAATGGCTTTCTGCTTTTTAATATCACAGGCGTCATTGTATCACAGGGCAAAATTATCTCAGGCTCTGCAACCTTCAGAAAACCAGTAGGCACAAATATATATTTTATGCAAGAATATCTCCTCTGATAGCAAATGTGGAACAGCCCCAAAGCTATTGTCTTCCTAGAACAAAGGGTGGCAGAATTTCCCTGTGTCCAGAAATCTCTTTGCATCAGTGAGTCTGTCTCCCAAAAACTAACTCAGAAAAGAAATGCAAAGAGACCACCAGTTACAGAACATTGGGATTAGATGATTATCATTAAATATGACGAGCAGAAGAAGAATGGAAGATGACCCTTGTAGCAAAATACTAATAACAAGAAAGATGCTCCCTCCTCTTCTGCAGGCCCCTCTTCTGCATTATGTTTGCAAGAACCAGTGTGTCATAGCTTTCAAACTCTAAACGTTTCAGTCCTCTTTCATTGGGTATCATGCTGTAGAAAGGGCCACAATAAACTCATCAGTCTGCCTATGCATCAGTACCCACGGTTGCATTCCACTCCCCATGTACAGTCAGGATATGGAGGTGGTGGAATCTCCCTCTCTGGAGATATTTAAGAACAGGTTAGATAGACATCTGTCAGGGATGGTGTAGACGGAGCTTGATCCTGCCTTGAGGGCGGGGGGCTGGACTCGATGACCTCTCGAGGTCCCTTCCAGTCCTATTATTCTATGATTCTATGATTCTATGATCTTTCTTGTGTATGTTACCTCGCAGTTAACATGAATCGTTAATATTTGTATACATTTTTTATCTCTCAAGTTGCCGACATTATTGTCTTTATTTTGAACTGGAATTTCTTTATTTTGAACTGGATAAATCGTGGAACCTGACTAGAAATGTCCACTTCTATTAAGAAGTAGATTTCGCTCTCCATATGACTAGGACAATAATTATTCAAAACAAAAGGATGTCCCCTTAAAAAACTTTGCACACGTGCTTCTGCAAATTCAGTCCTGATGAAAATAAGATAAGACCGATCATGTAGAGATTACTATTTTTCGACAGATCTCCTTTTCTTTTCCATTCTGAAAACACCATTTTCTTCCAGCACAGCAAGCCCATAGACCTGAATGAGTCCTTGAGGAGAAGTCTAAAATATTTAGCAACTCAGTGGCAGTAGGTTGCCTTTCTATGATTGCCTGTTGCTGCTTTCCTTCTGCAACTAGCAACGTAATCTGTGTGATTCTGACAATGGAGTCCCTTTGTTTGATGAAATAACTTCTTTTCTGCAGACGGGAACAGGAAAAACCAAGAATGTTCTTTGAAATTCAGTTGGATTTATGGGCAATAACTTTTTGCCAGGGGCCACTTCACACCAGAAGTGACGGAGCCTCAAACAGAAGGGATGGGGATTGGTTTACGGGAGGAGGTGCCCCTTTGACGCCCCCCAAATTCACCCTAAACACCCATGCCCTTGGAGACAAGAGGAGATTTTCCATGCTCCCCCACCCCTAGGCCAATCAGAGCTTGGGGGCGGGGCATGCAAATAATTTTTTGCCAAGGTCCCTCCTCCCACCCTGCCATGAGCACATGGCCCTTCAAAGTGCTGCATGCTCCTGGCAGGCAGAGGAAACTTTGCGCATTTCCCCCCACCCCAAGGCCCTAATTGGCCTGGGGACAAGGGAGTGACAGGGCCTCTGCAGGCCAGATCAACCCGCTTGGCGGGCCAGATCCAGCCCACAGAGGACCTTTTGCCCTCCCCTGCTCCAAGGGTTACATTTCAGTTTTTTGCCTTAGAATTAAAATATCAGAACAAATTAGATTGAAAAGAAAGAACAAAGAATTGGTCTTTAATTGTAACCCTCAGTGCTAAAGCCTCTGATGAGACAGAATGGAGGGCCCCTTGCTCTTCTTTCCTATTCACTAGTGCAAGCCATTGGAAATCCAACTTTCATTTAGAAAATAACTAAACCATAGAAAAGCAACACAATGGCAGTAGGTTACTTTTCTGTGATCGCCTCTTGCTGCTTTTCTTCTGCAACCAGCAGTGTAATCTGTGTGATTCTGCACAATGGAGTCCTTTTGTTTAATGAAATAACGTCTCCTCTGCAGACGTGAAGGGGATGAGCCCTCAGAGCAACCAAGAATGGCTGATGATTCATCCTTTCCAGTTCAAATGGACGACTTCATTATTTGCGGTAGGTACGTGTCATCGTGGCTGTGTCTAGACTGGCCAGTTTTTCCAGAAAATCAGCCGCTTTTCCGGAAAAACTTGCCAGCTGTCTACACTGGCCGCTTGAATTTCTGCAAAAGCACTGACTTCCTACTGTCTGAAATCAGTGCTTTTTGCGGAAATACTATGCTGCTCCCGTTTGGGCAAAAGTCCCTTTTGCGCAAAACTTTTGCACAAAAGGGCCAGTGTAGACAGCCCAGATTTGTTTTGTGCAAAAAAGCCCCGATCGCGAAAGTGGCAATTGGGGCTTTTTTGCACAAAAGCGCGTCAAGATTGGCCACGGACGCTTTTCCGCAAAAGGTGCTTTGGCAGAAAAGCGTCCGTGCCAATCTAGACGCTCTGTTCTGAAAATGCTTTTAACGGAAAAGTTTTCCGTTAAAAGCATTTCCGGAAAATCATGCCAGTCTAGACGTAGCCCTACTGTAGCTCTTTCAGGTATTGCTATTGTATTTTACTTTTTATATTTATTCAGATTAAAAAATTAGAACTATCTAGATTAGTACAAAATATTGTAACTGCAATTTAATACTGAGCTGTCCTGTGATACTTAATTATGCTGCGTGGAGATGGCAACGCTGGGCTGGATTCCCCTCTTATAGCCCTGGAGTTGCTCCTAGATTGCACGGTCAGTGAAAGGGGTATCGGACCTGCTTGTGTTGGAAGCAGCGCTGATTGCGGAGGAAGGATTTAAAGGTTCACTAGAAGTGTGACAAATTCAGGGTTTTTTCCCCTTTAATTTGATCTGGAGAAATCATGGAACCTGACCCTATTTCCTGGTTTCCACAAATGGGGATTTTTAATAATGAATGATTCACTGAAAAATTTCTGACAAAGTCAACTCTCCAGTGCAGAAAGAGCCGAAGGCTTGGCAATAAAAGCCCAAAGCCTTTTCCAGTGGCTCCCAAACGATCAGACTATGTTACCAAGCTCTCAGTGTGACCCCTCGAGGTGCTGTTTGTACGTACTCAACAAGATCAGTCTCCTCCCTCAGGAATGTCCATTTCTAAGACATCTATAGAGAAGCGACAAGGGCATAGTTCCATTCTTTTGCAGAACAACTGGGGATATTGCCTCCATTTGCCATCTTCGGCTCCACAGTGTCATTTGCAACTGACCCTGGGCAGGGCGGGGGCGGGGCAGGGGGAGGCATGGGCCTGGCTATGCGCTCCTAGTGGGGCCATGATGCTGCGTGGAGTTGGCAGAGCTGGGGGCAGCCCTCGGCATCGTTCAGACCATGCGGCACTGACCCCAGCCAGACCTTCAATACCACCTGGAGTGTTCTGCCTGGGGTTCCAATGGGGATTTAAAGGGCTTGGGCAGAAATTCTATTTAAGAGCAATTAATTTTGACATTCACTGTAGCATGCTGAACTTTCTTTTAATTAAAAAATTAGAATTATGGAGTTTAGAACACAACAGAGTACCTACTACGTATTTAATACTGAGTTGTTCTGAGATTCTTAAATTACCTTTTACTGTCAGACTAGTGTCGGGTAGAAGTTCAATTCAGGATTTGTTTGGGGTCATATGGGGTTCTCTGTAAATGTCAAAACTGGGCCTCTGACTTCTCCTGAGGAGAGCTACACCTGCTGTTAAAAACTGTTTCTCTGAAGGAGTCTTCTGGAAGGTTGGCTTGCCAATTTCTGTGTGCCCAAGTGCTGCTTTTTGCACCAGAAAGAATTGCAGGCTCAAAAATGTGGGTAAAACATTGGCGGGTATCAATTGCACTAGGAAAATGTAGCCAGACTTCTTTAAACAAGGAACGCTGCCTTTATTTTTCCTAGACAATCATATGTTTTCAGCCAGATGAAACAACAAAGCAACAGTACAAAGTAGAATTCTACCTCTGCTTGTAAATACTCTCAGGGAGTGGAATGCAGTTACCTGGGTTTGAATGACAATATTTAAAAAAAAAGAACAATCAGCCAGACACAGTAAATGTTTTTCTAATGATCTCTTTTGATTTTACAACAGAACCTTGCGGAGAGCCTTCCTTTCCATCGACTAACGGACATTATGACCAAGTAGATTCATCAATAGAAACTTCAGGATGGGATAACAGGTAGAGATGTTTGGCTTGCAGCAGTTCAGTGAAAACATTACTTTTCTTTTTACAAATATCTAATTTCCAGTGTTGACCAATTTTGTTACATTTCTGGCAGGTCGGTTTCCTTTACATTTGAGCAGCTGACGTCTTCCCAAATATGAATGTACAATGTTGGATTGCTTATTACTAGTGTTATCACAGAACCATAGATAAGAGGATTGGAAAGGACCTCTTAAGACATCTACTTCTGGCTACACGCGGCACGGGCTAGATAGTTCGGACTAGCAAGCTATTCCGAACTATCTGTACGCCTCGTGGAACGGGGTTCGAACAAGCCGGCATTTAAAAATGGCGCCGGCCGGCTTATGCAAATAAAGCCCGGGAAATTCAAATCCCGGGCTTCATTTGCACGTTCGGTATGCATACATTACCCCGCTAGTTCGCACTAGCGGGGTAGTGTAGACATACCCTTAAAGACTAACAAGATGGTTTATTAGGTGATAAGTTTTTGTAGGCCAGACCCACTTCCTCAGGTCTGAGAAGTTCATCCAATATAATAGCATTCAGTCACTTTAGGCACATGATGGCATAAATTATATTTCTGGATGAACAGGAATATGTATTCTTGATCTTGTAACTGGCATGGTTAGATCCAATAATGACTAACACGGCTGCATCTCTATCACTATCTTACTATAAGTAGAAATCTGAAATGAAAAAGCATGTTCTTACAGTCTGCCTCTGCTAAAACGGTTTTGTATTTTGGGGAAATGTAATCTGAGTAGAGCAGAATATTCAGAAAGCCCTAAAACAATTTTTTAAAAGTACACTAATTAGAGATACAGAAACCTGCTGGGGGGAAGGGAGAATTAGGGAGCAGAGGAATATGTGGGGAGGGATTGGGGCTGCAGGGAGGGGAGAGATAAATGGGGATGAGAGATAAGGGACGGGAGAATAGTTGTGGGCACAGGTTGGGGAAGGGAAACATGGGGCCAGAAAGGGGGGAAAATTGAATCAGGTGCACTTGTCAGCTTCACATCCTCCCTTGATCTGGTGTCCCCTGGCGGGGGCGGGACAGGGCAATCATAGGAGGAAGGAGTTGGAGCCAGGTAACCTTACCTGTCCATAAGGGAGCTGTGATATGTCTGTGTGGGGGCACTTCTGCAGGGAAACTGGCAGCAGTGTGAGACACCCCCTGTAAATAGGAGCTTCAGGGGGTAGCCGAGTTAGTCTGTTACAGAAAAAAAACAAATGATCTGGTAGCACTTTATAAACTAACAAAACATGTAGATGGTATCATGAGCTTTCGTGGGCACAGCTGGCTTCTTGGTCATCTGAAGAAGTGGGCAGTGCCCACGAAAGCTCATGATACCATCTACATGTTTTGTTAGTTTATAAAGTGCTACCAGATCATTTGTTGTTTTTTTCCCCTGTAAATAGATATTTAATTGCTCTTTAAATAGCCCATTAACAGCTCTTTAAATAGCTCCCTCCTCTTTAAATAACTAGAGTCCCTGTCAGCTCTTTAAATAGGTTCCTGCTAATTCTTTAAATATCCCCCCTACTATCTTTTGCCCCAGCTCAGCCAGCTATGGTGGGAGCTGTGCACCGGGGCGCACCCCCTTATTTTCACCTCTGAGTAAAACTCAGTAAAGTCTTCCTGAGACTTAAAAGTTTCAGAGGGGGAGCTGTGTTAGTCTATAACTAAAAAAATGTAAAAATCAACAAATAGTCCTGCAGCACCTTAGAGATGAACAAAACATGTAGAAAAAAACAACAAATGGTCTGGTAGCACTTGATAGACTAACAAAACATGAAGATGGTGGAAGCCTGGTATCATGATCATGATCAGGCTAAGCTTAAAGAAATTTAAAGGGACAGGGAGTAGATCTGGGTGAAACTTTTCATATGAATAGTTTATTGGGTGAAAAATTCCATTTTGGAGGAACAAAAACCATTTGTTGAATTCTACTCAGCTTGTTCGGCTGGAGGGAAAGACGGGGAAAATATCGAAAAGTTACATTTTGACATTTTTAAAAAAACTTTGAATTTTAATTGCAAAACAACATTTTGTTTATAAATTAGGCATAGTTTTTTAGAAGGGTAGAAAGCATTAAAAGACTAAAAGAAATTAAATTTTTAAAACCCTCAAGGCAATTTTTTCAGCTTTCCCTGAGAAAACAAAAAGAAATCAATTTTGAATTAACTTGAAAACAGCTGTATTTTTTCATTTAGACACACATCTGAAAAATTGCTCAGTTTAGGGAGCATCTATGTTGCAGGCCTGAGTAATCCAGAAGTTATATTTCTCTCCTATAAATGTTATTTCTGTGTCTGACTTGTTCTTTTTTTCTTTTCTTCATAATTCAACCCACAGGAGTTCAAATCCTGCTTCAAAATCACTAATCTTAGGGGGAAATATCATGATGCATGATATACATTGACTTATTGATCTGAAACCGCAATAAACCCAGGATTTCACAGGAAGGTCATAATAGCACAACAGGGAGAAATGAAAAAATGCAATCCTTAACCCTAGTATATCCCATTTGACTGGGGCAGACAAGATGAGGTCTTGGACTGAATCTGGCCTGCTGAGCTACTGGATCCATCCCGAGGGCCGTGCTGCTGGGACTGTCAGATACAAAGCAGCTTCACACTCCTTTAAGCAAATAGGGAACTGGCAAATAGCATCTTAGAAATTGTGTTGGGGGCAGGAGCCATGTGTGGAAAGCCTTCCCTTCCCCGTCACCTCCACCCCCTGAGCAGAGAGCCACAGGGAGCAGCTAGCCATTTTGAGCAGCCTGGGTCTGTGGTAGACATGGAACTTGCCTCAGAATCCTGCAGGGTTGCTGGCTGGGAACCGCCTAGATAAATGTCTCCTGGCCAGAGCCTGCCTCTGTCACCCCCCCACCCCCACACACACACACAAACACACCTCAACTCCCTTCCTCAGGTCACCAACCAAACCCTCTGCACCCTTCCTCCCCCACCCCAAGTCATAACTCCCTCCCAGTCCTTGCACACTCTCCATGGAAAAGTGCACCCCTTGACCACTTACCAAAATGGCCCCCATCAAAACTTATCACCCACCCCTGCCTTAGGCCATGAGCTGTGCACTGGGGATCTTCGTATCAGTGTTTCATTATGCTGGCTGTTTGTTTGTTTCCTCTTTAACAGGGACGTATCAGACTTTTTTGATGATGTTGCTAAGGGAGATCTTAAAAAAATAAAATCCTGGCTCTCGAGAATCCAACGGAATAAGTGGCAAATGGATGAGCTCAGAGGTACAATGTGTGTCAGTTCCCATTCAAGCATACAGGAATCCCACTGCACCGACTTCTGATCTATTTTACACTGCAGTAGCTTGAAATTACTCCTCCAATAATACACTAGTAAATATTGGAGCTATTTAGAAGGAAATAAGGAACTAATGGGATGGAGAGTTTAGGAAAGACTGAGATGCCAAACTCTTATTGCTGGTGCACTGAAGAGCTTTGCTAGTGTGGAGTCTAAGTACATGAGTTGTTCCACGGAAGTAAATGGGATACTCACACACTTACGCACTTTACTAGGGTATTGCCTTAATTAAATACAGGAGGGTAAAGGTATAGTCACTAATTCCCTCTGGGGGTTTAAGATTTGGAGAATGGGACGGGCTCAGTTCTGGGGCAGAGGGTTGTGGTGCTGGGGGCTAAGGGCTGTGGCTGGGGGTACCAGCTCTGGGATGGGGCCAGAGATGAGGGGCCAGAGTAAGGGAGGGAACTCAGGGCTACAGCAGAGGGTCGGGGTGCAGGTGGCTGGGGGTGCAGGCTTTAGGGTGGGACTAAGGATAAGGAGTTTTGTGTGCAGGCTGCCCGGGACAACAGCGCAGAGAGAGAACTCTCCCCAGACCTCTTTTCCTGCAGCAGCACCCAGACTGGGGGAGAGGTGCCTCTCCCCACTGCAACAAGGCTGGGGCTGGGGTGAGAGAGAGGTGCCTCTCTACCACAACCACAGGGCTGGAGGAGCCATTGCATCCCTGCATGTCCCAGGCTCCCCCATCACTATTCCCCACCTCACCCCACCCCACTGCCTCCCTCCGCTTCCTGAATCACTCCACTGCCAACTTCCAGGTCCTCCTGTAGCCACGCCCCTGAGTGCAATGTGCATGGCTGCATGGTTCTGCTAAATAAGTGCATGGCTCTTGGTAGCCTCCTTTGTGGCCACCCAGGGTGCACCTTGGAGGGACTATAGTCCTGAGATCCCCAGGAGGTGTAAATCAGCAAAATTCTGTACACTAGCTAAAAACGTGACCCCACTGATTTCAGCAAAGCTCTGCAGAATTACCACCAGCTGAAATTGTGCTTAACCTGGCTCAAAAGAGGGAGACACTCTCAGTGAAACACTGGGTGTGTGCAGGTAAATATAGTTTAAAAAACATCCTGGTCATTTTAATACTAAACGCAGGATCTGTGAAATATGGGGCTGTCCAATGCTAGGGAAGGCCCTAAGCTTTGGGGGCCGGATCCAGGAAACCCAGGAGCTGCATCCGCCCCCCAGGCCTTCAGTTCCCCACCCCAGTGCTAGACTATTAATTGTAGTCTGAGCTGTTTGAAATGCAGCCAGTTACACATATCTGTTTGCTCTGATTTTAGAAGTGCCATAATATTAGGGACAGGCCTGTTCGAGGGAGAATTAAAATGAAAGCTCATTTCTACAGAAAAAGAAACTGGAAAAACCTGTTTGATGAAAGCTTTGCTGAATCCAGTGAACAATTCCCCAGAGACCACTGAAGAGATCGTTACATCGCTGATAGAGTGTGCAAAAGGTTCTGGGTGTTTGAAGAAGCTGCTGGATGCATCTTTTACTGCTAAAGCATATGAAGGTAATAAATTATTCCGGTTTAGAGCAAGACTTCAGTTTCTGGGGCTCAGAATTATTTTTTCTTTTACCATTTTCATCTTCCCTTCCCCCCACAAAGTTAACATCTGTCTTTGCTCATTCTTCGCTGCAGGGCAGACAGCACTGCACATTGCCATTGAGAAAAGGCTGGACAGGATAGTTAAGCTCCTAGTTGAAAATGGAGCTGACGTTCATATCCAAGCAAAAGGAACATTCTTCCAGCCACTTACATGGAGAGATGACTGCTTCTATTTTGGTAATTCTACTTCATGGATCATTCCCACTGAACAAAAGCCATTACCCACTTGTCCTGAGCTTGTTCCTTTCCACAATGGTGGAAGGGGAGGGGTTGATTTTCTTCCTGCACATTGTGAAAATGTCCTTTTCAAGCCCTAATGAAGTCCCCAGCAAAACTCCCATTGACTTCAGTAGGGCCCAGATTTCATCCTTGTGGTACATCTGGCCCTGAAACAATATTGAATTATTTGGAGGTGAACTTAACCCATGTTTGGGAAGTAAAGGAGTTTTGGCAGGGCCTTGTGTGGACTCTCTACAGCTGGGTCAATTTCACTCTTTGAAAATGACACCTGGACAGGCCATCTTGGTAACCTAGTGGCTATTTCATGTCAATAAGATCTATTCTCTGTCATTTCTGCTCTATAGGGTACCAGTAGTCCTGTGGATAAGATACTCAACCTTAGAACATGGGAATGACCATATTGTATCATCCGGCCAAATATCCAGTCTCTGACAGTTTAATAGTCCTTTCAAAATTATACTAATTATGAGAACTCGGGATATTTTGTTATCTGTATAAAAATGGCCACACTGGGTCAGACCAAAGGTCTACCTCCCGTCATCCAGGTGCCCTTTAGAGAGGACAGGTGGGCTGAAGTTGAATCTCTCCCCTCTGCCCCTGATTCATAGGGGATCATTGCTGGCTGTTCCCCTTCATCAGGGAGTGAGGGGAAAGTGCGCTGTTTGCTGCATTCCTTAACCTGGCAGGGGAGCAGAGGGGCCAGCTGAACCTGGACCTGCCCCACCTGGGGAACATGCATCCTCCCCCGGCTGCGCCTGCTGGAGGTACAATGGCCATGGAGAGGTGCTTCTCACCTGGCCCCAAGCTGCTGTGGTGAGAGAGGTCTGGGGTAGACCGCTTTCCCCAGGGCTGCCTGCATCCTGAACCCTTCACCCCCACCCCACCCCAGAGCCATGATTTAAATGAAGAAAAGCAAAAATGGAGTTAAAGAGCAACCCTGGATAAATCTTGTAGTTTGTTTCTATATTAGAGGTTCTCCAGACCCTTGATCATTCTCATCACTCTTCCCTGAACGCCTTCCAGGCCTGCAATAGGTGGATTGGTGGCTGAGGATGAGAGATAACTTCGGAGTTGTGACCTATATTTTCTCACTCAAATACTACTTAAACTGTGGCAAGAGGGAAGTGCTGTTGAGGAATAAGCTACAGCCATTCCGATAGAGATTCACTTGCAACTTTTAATGTTGTTGACAGGAGAATATCCACTCTCGCAGGCTGCTTGCACAAACCAACCAAAGTTAGTGGAGTTCCTGTTAGATAAAGTTTCAAATCCTTATGCCCAAGATTCCCTGGGAAATACAGTCCTTCATGCGCTGGTAATGGTAGCTGATGACTCTGAGGAAAATACAGCGTTTGTGACAGAAATATATGACCAGATTTTGAAGGCGAGTGAAAAAAAATGCATTGAAACTAGAAATGAGTCAAAGAAGAACCTGGAAAAGATCTCGAACAAAGAAGGACTCACTCCCCTACAGTTAGCTGCGACATATGGGAAGATCAAGGTACAGTCGCCTCAGCTGTCTAATAAAAGAAGGGGAGTTTGTCATGTGAAGGGGAGTGTATCATGGCATGGGGAGAACCTTGTCAAAGGTTAGGACAGGAAAAGTGGTGAATGGAGAGTTTTCAGGGCCCTCAAACAGTCTTAGAAGTTCTAACAGGGAAGAAATAAGAACTGCAGTGTCACAGATCCAGAACCCGGCAATGATTTTCTTTCTCCCTCTGGGTTATTTTGCTGCTAAATAGATCTTCCAGCATATTTTAGGAAGATCCTTTCCATGTGAAGGCAAACACTCAATGGCTCATCTCTCGAGGAAGTTTGTGGAATGGGCGTATGGCCCGGTCTGCTGCTCCTTATATGATTTATCAGAAGTGGATACTGGAGAGCGCCATTCTGCCCTGAAGATTGTGGTGTATAACACCAACCATGAGGTATGTGCCCGAGAACCGGAACAATGAAAAACAAAGGATTGTACTGCCTTGGGAACACACGGAGGGAGTGTGAGTCGTGTCCCTTCAGCAGCTGACCTGCTGTTGCCAGCTAATGGAGTTTCTCCTTCAAGTGGTAAAAGTGTGTGCGTTGCAACTGATGATTCCTGGATCATCAACCAGCTGACAGTCATAGCAAGGGCAAGGAGGGTCAGCAGCCATGAGTACCAGGATGCTTCTTGCTTTTCTTCCTGTTCCCCTGAAGACCAGGGAGTGAGGAAAAAGTACACAGGTTTTGTGATTTACTCCTCTGCCCTCTCCCCTCACCAGCCAGGAGTGAGACGCATGCACACACACTTTGTAATTTCCCCCCGCTCACTGCCCAATAGGGGAATGGGAAGAAAAGCGAGCAGTGTCCCGGTACACATAGCTACTGCTCCCTCTGCCTCCTGAAATGGTGCCCTGTCCTAGAGTCCTGGGAGGTGCTAATAAACACCAGCCCACCGTACAAAAAATGGCTGAGGTTATGGCTGTGTCTACACTACAGGGTTTTTCTGGGACACCAGAGATATTCCAGAAAAACTCCACCGGCATCCAGGGAACCCGTCTGCTCTTCTGCTTTTTTTTGCGGAAGAGCAGACTTGCTCTTTTGGAAGCCCTGTCTTCCTCCTCCCATGAGGAAGAAGGGATCTTCCAAAAGGTTTTTTTTCAAAATTTTGCCAAATTTTGGAAAAGCCTCTTCTGAAAAAATATCAGAAAAAGGTGCACAAATTGAGGAGCGCATTTTGCGTAAATTTTTCCGATAGATTCTTGTAGTGTAGACATAGCCTATGAATATCTTAAGAATTCAGTTCTCACTTTTAGACACTTTACTTTCTCTCTCTCTCTTTCTCTCTCTCTCTATCCACGAGAGAGAAGTTAACAAGTGTTCTTCCCCTTTGCAGAAACACTATGACATGCTGGATGTGGAGCCTCTGAAAGAGCTGATTGGTATAAAATGGAGACATTTTGCGGCAGTGATGTTTGGCATCAGCACAGCCCTGTATCTGCTGTACATCACCATTTTCACTGTGATGGCTGCATATCAGCCCCAGATCAACCAGGTGAAGATTTCTGGAGAGATTCAAGCTTGCTGCATGGAGCTATTTAATGTATTTAACTTATATTGGCAGATCCCACACCTGGCTAGAGAGCAGAACTAGAACTCTGCCAGAAGCCCTGCTGTGGGTGTCCCTCATGCATGCAGGTCACCATCGTTCAGCATCAGGAAGTCTTGTGTGTGTGTGCAGTTACATCTCCATGAACTGTAGAAATATACACACTAGTGCATACAAAATGATGGGCTCTAAATTAACTGCAATCACTCGAGACAGTTTTTGGAGTCATTGTCGATAGTTCTCTGAAAACATCTGCTCACTGTACAGCAGCAGTCAAACAAGCTAGTACGGTATTAGGAACCATTAGGGAAAGGAAAGACAAGATAGTAAGTGTCATAAATCATATGAATCCATGGAACGCTCACTCCTTGAATGCCGCATGCAGTTCTGGTTTCCCCATTGCCAAAATGATGTATTAGAAACAGTGCAGAGAAGGGCAACAAAAACGGTTAAAGGTATGGAACAGTTTGCATATGAGAGCTTAACTAGGCTGAAACTATTTAGTTTAGAAAAGAGACAAGGGAGGATATGCTACAGGTCTACAGAATCATGAATGGTGTGGTGTAAGTAAAAGTTATTTATCACCTCACATGATCCATGAATTGGGGTCACCTGATAAAATTAACAATCTGTGGATTTAAAACAAACACCAGGCAGTACTTCTTCACAAATCGCATGGTCAGCCTTTGGAACTCACTGCAGGGGATGTTGTGAAGGTCAAAAGTAGAAATGAATTTTAAAAAGAATGAGAAGTTCATAGAGGACAGGTCGATCGTGGATCAGTCGCCAAGATGTCCCTAAGCCTCCGGCTGCCAGATCCTGGGAGCAGGAGAGCGCGAACCTTGGTAGAAGTTGGGGGGAGGATCATGAGGCTCTGCCCTTCTTGGTGGCCAGACCGGAAGGCAGAGCCAGGCAGTGGCAAGAGCAACTCAGGGAGACCTGGACCATCCACCTGCCCTAGGTGAGGGGGATTACTCAAGAGCAGCCTTTGGCCATTCTCTATCCCCCAGAGGTTGTTCTATTTATTCCCTTTGAAGAATCTGGTACTGGCCACTGTCAGAAGACAGGATACTGGACTAGATGGACTATTAATCTGACCCAGTGTGGCTGTTCTTACATTTGACAGATAATATTCAGCAATTAAAAATCCTGGCTGTGAGTCTTGGCTGGTATTACACTGTGGGCTTGGGAGACGTGAGTAGTACTAAGGTTGACGCCTTCAGTGTTCGATTTACTGGGTCTTTACTCGACCTAATAAATTGAATGCCGGAAGATTGACCGACATAGCGTTGATCTTTCCACAAGTATAGGCATAGCCTCAGATTACTTTTTTTGTCTTGTTTCCTTCCCTGTTCCTTTCAGCAGATGGCAGCTCCCAACACATCTGTACATATTTTGCAGCAGGTTCTCCATGAGGCAAACGGTGGAAACCCATGGCTTCTTGTGGCGCAAATTTACACTTTAATAGCAGCCATTTCCTTCTTGGTTAAGAGTGTAAGTAGAACCACACGTCTAGCCACTGGAATATGATACAATTGACGTCCATGAGGCTTCTCTGACAGAGACAGAATAGAATATAGACATACACATTTTCTTTTGCTATGTTAAAAGTGTACACACTAATGTATTTTGCACAATCAAAGCCTCTTAACTGTAGCAGAGCTGCTACTCCACAATTATAAAACCATCACAATATTACTGCTTAACTATAGCCCTGTTAGTGATGTCTATTATGATATGTTAAACACATGAGCTGCGTCTAGACTGGCATGATTTTGGGCAAATACTTTTAACGGAAACATTTTTCCGTTAAAAGTATTTGTGCAAGAGAGCCTCTATATTGGCAGTGCCTTTGCGCAAAAGATTTGCTTTTGCACAAGAGCATCCGTGCCAGTGTAAACGCGCTCTTGAGCAAGAAAGCTCCGATGGCCATTTTAGCCATCGGGCTTTCTTGCGCAAGAAATTAACATTGCAAGAATACTTGGGCAAGAAGGCTTATCCCTGAGCAGGAGCGTCGGAATATTTGCTCAAGAACCACTGATTTTGTACATTACAACGTCAGTGTTCTTGCGCAAATACTCTCGGCCAGCGTAGACAGGCAGCAAGTTTTTGCACAATATCATGCCAGTCTGGACACAGCCAGGCATTATGGAGCAGTTCACTTCCCACAGAGGACCAGCGCAAGACATGCACCACTTAGGTCTTCATATTAAGTTAGATGTATGTGGTGCATTGGCCTTGTGTTGACCTATACTGAGGAGAATCTCACCCCTAGTGAGCTAAGCAATGCACATGGTTTCCCAGGAAACTTCAGTGCTAAATACTAATGTCCTTTCAGAGGGTCATAGAGGGATTACCGTATGTCCAACCGACTGTAGGTAGCAAAGTTAATGAACTGGAACATATTTCAAAATCACATTTTTAAAAGTGTTGACTAAGCTTCTAAGTGTTAACTAACTTAAGCGGAAGGACTTGTATTTGATCCACATGTTTGTGTTTCAGGGTTTAGAGATCTTCTGGATGTGGCCTTTCACATTTCGCTCTATTCTTCAGATTAACTATTTCTACGTTCTCTTGTAAGTTTTACTCTTCTTGTCCCCTCTGAATATAATATAGTATTAAACCTTGTCCCAGTGGAACTAGTGTCTTGTGTTTCTGTAAGCCAGTCAGGCTAGACTTTTTAGCTATTTGAAATTGCATTGCATGTATTTAATAAATACAGGTTGAATGTTTCTAGTCCAGGGATCTCTGGTCCTGCAACATCCATGGTCTGGCATGATTTTAGTTAGTCAGATGTCCATTTACTATGCATGTGGCCAAGTTTCCCCGTGGTAACGTTTGTTCAGAGTCCTGGCTGTCTGTGTACAGAGCTGCTATTTAGCTTAAATTTACCCCCAAATGTCTTTTAAGAGCCTAGTAAGCAGTGGAAGGGTTGGTAATGCTGTTAGACAATATTGACCTCCTGTGGTTCAGCAAATTCTTATGTTCTGCACCAATCAGATCCTGAGGGTGCCAGACCAGAGAGGTTTAACCCGTACATATATTTCAGTAACAACTGATGGGAAATATCTCTGTTGTGACTATGGTTTCTTTTTTCCCCCAGTTTCATTCAAGCACTGCTCGTGATATGTGCACATATGTTGTGCTTCATGCAGATGGAAGTTTATGTTATAGTGAGGGTCTCAGCCTTAGTTTTGGGATGGTTCAATATCTTGTACTATTTCAGAGGGTTCCGAATCACTGGCATTTACACTGTAATGGTTCAAAAGGTAGGTTCAAAACCTTTAACATGTATTTACATATTAAAAGCATGTTAATATAGGTATAAAAACACAACAAAACTGGTTCATAAGAGAGTGGAGAATTTTCCCAGAAGTTGGAAAGAACCTATTGCTAAGGTATTCCACATAAATATTTTCCTGTGTTTGGATTGTGAATATAAATATTGACCATAGCATTTCTCTTTGCTCCATTCAGGCATGTTTTGACCAACCAGCAGTAAAATATGCGAAAGCTAAATTATTCCTATTCGCTTAAATTTTCCTTGCAATTGGTTTCCTTTACTTAAGACATGTTTTATATAAACCCTAAGCTATCACAATGTGACAGATTTACTTTATTATATTGAGTGCAACGTTAAAAGATCTGGGAATATATGGATATGCTGCTATGCCCCTAAATAGTCTTTATGTCTATAATAAGGCTGCGTCTAGATAGGCATGATTTTACGGAAATGCTTTTAACGAAAAACTTTTCCGTTAAAAGCATTTTTTGAACAGAGTGTCTAGATTGGCACAGATGCTTTTCCGCAAAAGCACTTTTTGCGGAAAAGCGTCCATGCCAATCTAGACGTGCTTTTCCGCAAAAAATCTCCAATCGCCATTTTCGCGATTGAGGCTTTTTTGCGGAAAACAAATCTGAGCTGTCTACACTAGCCCTTTTGCGCAAGAGCTTTGCGAAAAAGGGACTTTTGCCCGAACGGGAGCAGCATAGTATTTCCGCAAGAAGCACTGATTTCTTACAGTAGGAAGTCAGTACTTTTGTGGAAATTCAAGCGGCCAGTGTAGACAGCTGGCAAGTTTTTCTGGAAAAGCGGCTGATTTTCCGGAAAAACTGGCCAGTCTAGATTCAGCCTAAGATTATATACTGTCAGACTCCAGACCTAGATATATTAGTGAATTACAGCACTTTCATGTCATTTTCTGCAAATTTCCAGTAATACACTTCTTTCTATGTTTCCTATACATTTTCAGATGATTTTAGTGGATGTTTCCAGGTTCCTTTTGGTTTATGGGGTTTTCCTGGTAGGTTTTGGAGCAGGTAAGAAGTTTTTCATATCAATATATTAAATTAGAGTAAATATTAATTTGATTTTAATTATATGGAAATATGAAGAAGGCAAGAAATTAAATCAGTCATATGATTGTGGGATTCTGCAGGCATCCAGCATCGCTACCACTGGTCACCTAGGCAGCCCCTCATTTTAGCTAAATCTAAAGCTGTTCAAACCTTTTCTATTCATGGGTGGTGCTTCTGGGGTGAGCCTGTTTTTATTTCCCATACATCACTGAGAACATAAATGTGAACTTATGCAGTAAAAGGTGAGACATTACATTTCAAATATGTAGTAAGAGCTCAGGAAATATGTAGCAGAAAGGGCAACAATAAAGGATTAGCCAGATCGAGTCCTGGGCATTCATAGTGGTCCTTGCCCAGGAACAGTAGAGTCATTACACAGTTATATCCATCCCATGCCAAACGAAGTGGTAACTACATTTGCAATATCAGAAAACAATCTGGACAACATCAAATCTCAATTTGTACAAGGAAATGACTATGGTACCTATTACCAGTAGCTCAGACAATAGAAATTCAGTATTTTCTTCTGTCAGTTCAGTGATTGTTCCGTCCTTTTCCTAAAGTCTGATGCTGGTTTTCTGTTACCCTGCAGGTCTTGCTTCTCTGATGAACGATTGCCCCCAGGACACAGAGTGCAGCCGATTCCACAGCTTTCACTCTGCAGTGTTTGAGCTCTTTAAGCTTACCTTAGGGCTCGGGGACCTCTCAGGGCATGAGGATTCCAAGTACCCGAAGGTTTTCATGCTTCTGCTCATCTGCTACGTGATACTCACCTTTGTGCTCCTCTTAAACATGCTGATCGCACTCATGGGGGAGACCGTCAATTCAGTGTCCCAAGAAAGTGAGAAAATCTGGAAGCTCCAGGTGAGGCTCCTGCCTTTAGCAGTTCAAACCCAGTTACAAGACACTGTAATGTGATCAGAAATGCCCAATAGTTGGCATACACATGTCTCATCTACCTGTCAATTCTTTTACATTTTTCTTAACCCTCCCAGGAACATCAGAAAAATGAAACGTGTATTTCACACTGCAGTTACAGGTAACAGTACCTGGAATTGGCTGCATCCTTGTCAGGGCTCAGGACTGTTCCACTAGGGAAGCTTTCCAGCATGACACTAGCGAGACACAACACATTCATTGGGTCCATATTATCCAACCTGAATACAGAGTATTTCCCTTTCATAGGCAAAATCTAAACTACTGTGCCCACTGAGTATCTATAGCAATCATTCAACTGCAATGTCCTTATGTGGTGACTAGATGTCACCTTTCTCCATGTGAAGGCGGCTGTGCAAGCACGAAGTGCTTTTTAAAAAATGGTAGAAAGTCACACCAGGAAACACTTACCATTAGTTGCATTTGTACAGTTGTATGTGAGATTTTCAAAAGCTCTCAGACAATGGCCTGATGCTGCCCACACTGTAGATAAGTTCATAGAGGATAGGTCCATCCATGGGTATTGGGTAGGGATGTAATTGTGTAATCGATTAACCAATAAGCAAACGCTTATAGGTTAATGCTATAGACTACACACGTTTCCCTCTCCCCCGCCTGCCAATAAATTTTTAGCAGGCTGGCTCAGTCCTGGCTTGCCACATGTCCAGGACCCATCCCTGCTGCAGCTCTGTATTAAAAGTGTTTTAGGAGCTGGGTGGGCAGGCAGCCCGGCTCTGTCCTAATTCATGCCAGGCTCTGCACTTAAAGTGTATTAGGAACCAGGTGGGCAGGAAGCTCTGCTCAGTTCCAGCTCATGCCAAGTCCAGGAGCTCAGACCCCCTTAGACAGTGGCTGCTGCCACCTCGTGCTACTACCTCTTTATCAGAGGCTGCAACACACTGCGCCAGGCAGCCGGACCACAAGAGAGGTGGCTTTCAAATTGGCTCCCCTCATGGATCAGCTGCCGCTTGGCATCCAGCGCTGCTTCCTCAGATAGAGGCAGGGGTCTCCTCAGGAGTGAGGCTGGAGTGCACTGGCTGCCGGCCCCCGGGGACTATAGACTAGTCTATTAACTGATAAGAATTCATGAGTATACTTGACCATTTAATTAACTAATATTTAACATTCCTCGTATTGGGTAAGTTGGTCAGAAATACAGCCCCATTCGACAGATGTCCCTAAACTCCAGTTTTCAGAGCCTGGGACTGGATTATTGGAGATGGATCACTCAAAACCACCCTGCCCTATTCATTTCCTCTAAAGCATCTGCCTCTGGCCAAGGCAGGAAGAAAGGACACTAGGCTAGATGGACCATTGGTTTTCATGCTATGGCCCTTACGTTCAGCTGCTATATTACCATTACCGTCAGTGGGTGCAGCATTAAGAGCACAGACAGGAAAATCCCACTCCAAGAGCACTCATACCTTCTGCAGATTTTCAAAAGTGCATCCTTTGAAAATTCAGGGCAGGTAGAAAGACCGGCAGACAGTGAAAACATGCCACCCGCAGTAAGAGCCGTATGCAAGAACATCTCCAGAATGATTCATTGTTTGCCATCGTGTTAATTATACACAGAAAGCCATGACAATACTGGATCTGGAAAGAAGTTTGCCAGTGTCCTGGAGAAAATGGCTCCAAAGGAAAAAAATTCACCCCAATATGCTAGTTGGCTATACCCCTGATGGCAAGGAAGATCAGAGAACTTGCTTACGGTATGTACAGTGAGACCTCTAGAGATCAAACTAACCATTTAATAAAAGTGTGATTTAAACTATTTTATTATGTCTAAATGTGATGGGCCCGAGCTCTGTGTGGCTCCCTGATACAGCTTATCACCAGAAGACCTTTCAGGGGTCTGTGGGCCTTGCAGAGACTGTGGAGGTGAAGGTAATCCCTCTACCAAAGACAGTAGAGAAGGGCAGCAATCCACACCATCAGGGCCAGGAGAGAAAAATTTGTGTTTACTTTTTGTGGAATGCTCTTGGATACTGAGGAAAAAGGCCCCCCTGTGACAACAGATAGGCTACGTCTAGACTGGCAGGATTTTCCACAAATGCTTTTAACGGAAAAGCGTCCGTGCCAATCTAGATGCGGTTTTGCGCAAGAAAGCCCCGATCGCCATTTTTGCCATCTGGGCTTTTTTTGCGCAAAACAATACCACGTTGTCTACACTGGCCCTCTTGCGCAAAAGCATTTGCGCAAGAGGGCTTTTGCCTGAACAGGAGCAGCATAGCATTTCCGCAAGAAGCACTGATTTCAGACAGTAGGAAGTCAGTGTGTTCTTGCAGAAATTCAAGCGGCCAGTGTAGACAACTGGCAAGATTTTCCACAAAAGCAACCGCTTTTGCGGAAAAACTTGCCAGTCTAGACACAGCCATAGAGTTGGAGGGAGGTTGCATACAACAGAAGGTCACATTGATGGTGAATTATTCATGGTGTTAGATACTTTAGTTACTCATCGTAAGCCTGAACCTTCTGATGCCCCCCATCCCTAAAGTTATATGGGGCTTGGCCATGCTGAACCCAGCTTTTATACGAATATAAATATACTTCAGATTGGTAAGCTTCCTCTTGATATGTTTGCTTATAATGAACAGGGTGAATGATGTGAACAAAACCTACTGGAGTAACACACTAAAGAACATGAATGAAGATCCAGGCCCTCTTGCAAAGGAAAAGAAAGACGGTAATGGCTGAGATCCTGTTTTTAACTGTAGGAGAACTTTTTATTGCCCGTAAACCTCAAAAATCATTCCAATGGAACTATCACTAGAGTTACGCTATCTACCATGTCAGCCACCTCCAAGACTAGCCTAGTGTTGAACAGAGGAGCTTTGTAGCTTAGAACTACACAGGGGCCCCTTGAAGTCCTTGTTGATGCACGACTCCCGCTAACTTCAAAAGCAATTTCAAATCAGAATTTCAGGACTGGACTGTTATTGAACGGCAGCGACACAGTTATTTCTGCCCAGTGAAACTCGGTGTTCTGATGAGATGTGAAAACTGATAGTTCTAAGTCACTTCATTTCTTACAAAAAAGCATTTAATTACATTGGATGAAAACCTGACCCCACTGAAGTCAATGGCAAATTCCCATTGACTTAAATGGAGACAGGATTTAACTGATATTATGGGTTCTGTAGATGTTACAGAGCTACAGATATAATAGATGCAGCAATGAAAGTAACTTAACATTTCTTACCGATACTGTCCTATTGCTACCAGGTCTCTGGGTGTTTTTTGTGATGTTAAATAAAGTGCTGCCAATGAGAATAATGTCATTGTTTGTGATGGTTAGAGCAGATAAAATTTTGAGGATAAATTCCAAAATATAAGTTAATTTACAAACATAGGTAGTGGTTGGATAGGTTTTTTTCTTCCAGATCTTGTAATTACTAGTGTTTGGATTTCTGTCTGTTTCACTTGAGAGAAACCCAGACTTCTAACAGCAACTGACTCCTTTCTCCAAAGTACATCCAAACTAAACAGAGATGATTGGCTTGTTCTTCTCATGCCAGCAGTTTCACCTTCTCCGTATTTCTTTTCCAGGTTCAAGGAGAGATGCGGTATGAAAAAAGGAACCTGAGGAAAGAAACACATCAGTACATAAAATTGATATTTGAAGAGGTG